TAAAGCAATGGCTGAGCTGGTGGTCCTGCTGTGGTATACATAGCCAAGAGCAGCCGTGGCTGTGGAGGATACCCACAGGAACTATGTATGGAGTGCAATCGGTGTAGTTTTTTCTGGAAAAGAAAGCATTACCTGCTTCAAAGCATGAACCCACACAAGTGTTTAAGAGACATCAGAAGGCAGAATGGAAGGATGGAACCTCCAACCACATACACTTGTATCAAATTCTTACCCTTAGTGAACCACTGCTCTCTCATGTACAGAATGAGGACAAATGTAGAACAGCAAGTACATAAAAACAACTTATTCCCTGAATAAGTTCATTCACGGATAAAGAGATATAGGACCATTGGCCCAACTTATATGGGCCACTCAAGTAGGCTTCTTTGATAGAATGAAGCTATTACTTGGGTCAGTGAGAATATCTTTATATCCCCAAGGTCTCAAGAGATTCAAACTGAAGAAAAACAAGCTTTCAGACAGCTTTGCTGGCAGCTGGATGATAATCATCAGAGCTCCTTACCCAAGGGATGAGACCTCTGCTGGGTGGAGCTGAGGATGCTAGGGAAAGCCCTATGAGCAGCATATAGGCCTTGCTACCAACAGCCCCAGGGCAGGCCTGTTCCTTCCAGATGCTAGCATAACAGAGGACTCCTGCGTGGGTACACAACCCATTACAGAACCAACAGCTTGGTTTCCTCCTGTCAGAGCAGGAGCCATCCAGAGGTGGCAACAGGATCCCCCAGGAAGCTGCCTGGATCTGCTATCAGCCTTCCTCATCTGTGGAGGACAACTCCAAAACACCTAGAAAGACAAAGCCCTAGGGGACATATGTGTACACTGGTACCTAAGCCAAAGTCATCATAGTCAAAGGCAAAGTTTCTATTTCCTAGGACAAGAGAGAACCAAATATGGCATCGTCCTCAAAGCTCTCTCTTGGTATAACACTGTGAAATACTAGAGACACACAGCCCTGACCCAATCTAGTTCATATATAGACGGGGACTCAAAGAGATTAAGACAGAAAAGTCTCACAAGTCTGCCTAAGACAAAAACAAAACCCCCGCTAACTGTAATGGTTTGAATAGGTTTGGCCCCCATAGACTCATGAGTTTGAAAGCTTGGCTATAGAGTGGCACTATTAGGAGGTGTGGCCTTGTTGGAAGAAGAATGTCGCGGGGGGGGGGGGGGGGTGTAGGCTTTGAAACTCTCCTAAATCCCTGGAAAAGTCTGCTCTTAGCTTCCTTTGGATGAGGATGGAGAACTCTCAGTTCCTTCTCCGGCACCCAGTTTGCCTGCATGCTGTCATGCTTCCTGTTATAATGGAGTAAACCTCTAAATCTTTAAGCCAGCCTCAATTAAATGTTTGCCTTTGTAAGAGTTGCCACAGTCATGGTGTCTTCATAACAATGGAAACCCTAAGACAGTAGTCAATGGATCCCCTGTAGCCAAGTGATCATTCTACTTAAATAAAAGCCTCAGTCTTATATCTTATGGGTGCAATAATCTACTTGGGGCCACAAGTGTCAAGTCCCTCCTTCAACCCCACACACCTGAAGGGGGGGTGTGCATTGTGGCCAATTCAATGCTAAATAGACTAAAGCTAAAATCAGCTTCTGGGACAGAAACCAAAGGCCTTGGTCCTTTAGCTACCACACCTTTCCTTGAGACATTGCTTGGACCAGGACACTAAATCTGATTTAAGAAACTATCTCCCATGGGAAACCTACCAAGTTCTCTAGCCCCTGCCTGCACTCCAGACTGCTTAGAGCTAGACAGCCAAGCTCAGGCTGATTCATGCTAAATTATTCACTGAATTCAATTATGAGGATTTCTTAAGACTTACAATCTAAACTACACACATTAGCTCTATGACCTTCATCAACAACAAAAACTAGGCCTACTTCTTTGATATTAGATAACTACTAAGACTTCATATGGAACAAAGACTATTTTCTATGACCTCACCTCTCCACAGACACTTCAAGTCACATTAAGATCTGATTTCCTTCAGCAGGCTTTAGCTGCCCAAACCCACCACCCAAGAGCTTGACTTCAAAAGGTCCCAGTAATAGAAATGTGTGTACTGGACCACAGGCTTGGCTCTTAACGCAGAGGCCCTCACTCGTATCACAATCCCCTCCTGGTAAAGTGTGGGCTATGGCAAGACCACCAGTTTGACTGACTTCCTGCTTGGGATAAGGCTTGTGGCCAACAGGATTCATGAGAAATGGCTCTCTTCTAAAAGTGACATAAGGGGAGAAAGATAGGCTGTATCAAGTACTTGCTAAATGCAGACATGCCTTTCTAGAGCAATCAACTGGACAAGTTGGCTTTGACTTTAAAGGCAACCCTCCCAACACGAGGCATCAGCATGCTTCCATCTCATCATAAGTACACACCTAAAACCCACTGCTTCACTCAAACTGTATGTTTAGGGCACTTCAGCCCTATAAAATATAAATGGGAGTTAAATCCATTTTGTGAATAATAAAGCCAAAGCCCAGAGTGGTGAAATAACCAGCCTGATTATCACATAGCCAATAAACCAGAGATATAAGACTCAAACCCTACACTGTAGCCAATTATCTCTGCACAGGAATTCTACCTTTCCCCACCCAAAGTGCAGTTTCTCCCTCTTTTCACTGCTGCAAAAACTGCTCTTTCAGCAGGCAGTTGTATGTGATTGGGTTTATTCACGCTGGTACTGGGGCCAGGTATGCTTAACACCCCCAGCAATGACAAGTCAAACAGAAAGTTACCTAGAAACCAGCGTATTCAAGTTCTATCCCTAATTTGGGATAATCCTCAAATAAATCCTTTTTTTGTGTAGGATTCTAACTAGCATACACTTCTCAGATCCTCTTCACAGCACAACTACTCACAAGGAGCCGCCTGCGTTACTACTTCTCTACCTCCTGTCTAGTCTGGGAACGTATGAAGCTACACTTTTCATAATAAACAAGACACTGTTTGCCTTTTTCACTTTCCTTCTCCCAGTGGAGTTTTTCAGAAGTTACACAATGAGTTGTCTACTATATTATAATGCAGAACCCAATGAGACTATTAAGGCAAGAATTAAACAGATTTGCAAAAACAATGCTAGTCATCCTTAATTTTTAGAAATAGTTATCTTCATAAAATATAATTACTTATGACAATAACTGGTATGATGTTATTAATTCATTCATTCATCTGAAGAGAACATTTAAAAAATGTTTATTGGGGTTGGAGAGCTCAGTAGTTAAGTGGCTTGCTGCTCTTCCAGAGGACCTGAGTCTGGGTTCTAACAGCTAAATAAGGTGGCTCACAACCTGTAATTCCAGCTTCAGGGGACCGTCCCCCTATTCTTACAAATCGCTTTTACTAAATGTCTTAACCAATCAAACTCCTGAGTTGCGCCTCCTGAGCAGCCGTGCCCTGAGGTGGGAGGTATGAGGACTCACACCTCCAACTCTAGCCTCTGATTCTCAAAGCTAAGCAGATATGGCTCATCTGACAACATAACTCAAGCCTGAGGCACCAGTCATACAGCTGGGACCCATCCCACGATTCAAAGTACTCAGCTATGACAGGGCAAAACAGGCCTGTCAAACTAGCACCACAAACACAGCACTGACCAGCTGTCGGAACCACAGAATGATCGGGACATGTACTCAAAACCTAGTCCTCTCCTCTCAAGGTCATTTATTCCTTTTATATGAAGTTATTTCTTGGGGTTGGAGAGAGCTCAGTAGTTAAGCGGCTTGCTGCTCTTCCAGAGGACCTGAGTTTGGTTTCTAACAGCTAAATCAGGTGGCTCACAACCTGTAATTCCAGCTTCAGGGGCCATCATCCTCTTCTGGCTTACAAAATGCCTAACTAATCCACCTGACTTGTTTTCTTTAGCTGCAACTTTGTCCTGTAAACAAGCACACATCTCATGTGCTGAACCAAATAGGGTCCCTGATCTTAATTTAATTGAGACAATCCTATAATCCTAACCTAAATTCAGGTCCTTTTCCCGATGACAACCTTTCTCTTAAATAAGGAAAAATTGAATTCCAAGAGGTCTTTCAGAAACGCAAAGGCTAGGATGGAAATGGAAAGTTACAGTTAGAAATACCATCAGAGCACTGGCTAGCCAAGTCTACTGAGAACAAGACAGAGGTAAGCTGCTCAGCTCAGTACAAGTCACCTTTGCAGAGGTTCAGAGGAAGAGAGAAGCCAGGTCCTGTGCCAGATGGTCCATTCTTGACCATGAAACCAGCACTACCCCCACCAAGACATCAGCAAAATCTATGGACAGCTTATTTCTACCCTGTCATCTTGATAATCCAGGAAAAGGGGATAGGTAGATTCGGTAAGATATATTTGTCCTTAATTTAATGGGATAGGATATAAAATACCTACGATATGTGTAAAAACATCTAGCATATATGGTGGTCAATTTCTAATGTCCTGCCTTGTCCATCACACCTCAGACTTTGGTATAGTCTTAACCGCTTTGAATAGAAAAGTCAAGCATCTCCGGATACTCTGTTCTTTATCCTAGCTGGTCCATGTCCTCGTCCATCTCTATATTATCGGTATTCCACACTAAGACAAATTGGTCCATTCTCTCCATGTCCCAATTTTCTCCAGCATTAGGTCCCATGTGGACAGAACTGGATCCATAAACAGCAAGAACATAGTTGGGACAAAGTGCCTTCCCTGAAAACTGTATTCCTTTCAGCACCATTTTATAGGAGAATTTATTACTTGATAATAAGAAAAAGTGTTTCTAAAAAACTTGAAAGATTCAGCCTAATGTCTTTTCTCTTAAAAGACTTCTCTACATTTCTTATTTTGTACTCAAATAATCTGACCTATCTCTACTTGCCAAAATTTGAGGGCCAATCTGTATCAACAAGACTTACTTCCTGGCCCTGAATTTTCTCTACAACTCCAGAGTCTAGCCCAATACAGGACACACAGCTAGCCCAGGGAGTGTGTAAGTACAATAACAAAAAAGCACTCACCTAGTTTAAAAACACCCAAGAAGTTCAGCCCTGGAGTTTAAGCAGCACATGTGACCTGGTCCATTCGGGTTTCAAGTTCAAAAGCATCAGGTCGGTCCTGTGGGTTAGCAGCTAACATGTCTTTCAAGAGCTGCTTGACCCCCTCAGACATGGAAGTCCTACGTTTCTGAGGGATATGCAACTCCATCTTTGGGTTTTCTAGCAGCGCCTCACCAACAGGGACGATCTCAGTCCCTTGTTTAATGTAGGTCCCCAGGAGCTCCTTCTTGGTTTCAGAGTCAATAAAAGTAATTCTTTCTATCATTGCCCAGATGATAATGCCCAGAGCAAAGATGTCCGCCTTGGCTGTATAGTGTCCCTCCCAGACTTCAGGAGCCATGTAGAAGTCTGAGCCACAAGCTGAGGACAGCCAGTACTTATTCACATTCACATTTTTGTTATCTTGATTGCCCTCTTTGCCTCGAGGTGCCAGCCCTGCACAGACCTTGCTCAGTCCAAAGTCTGCCACCTTGAGGATGGGGGTGCCAGACCGCTCTGTGATCAGGATGTTGTCTGGCTTTAGGTCCCTGTGCACGATGTGGTTTTTGTGCAGGAAGGCAATGGCGCTTGTAAGCTGTAGCATGAAACTTTTGTTGGTGGCTGGGTCTGGTCTCCGGGACAGGACATACTGATTGAGGTCTCCACCTTCACAGTACTCCATGACAAACCAGAGATAGCAGGGCTCCTCAGCATAGCCCAGGATCCTTTCTCCTAAACCAAAGGACAGGAAAGAGCTTGAGTGGACATTCAGATTACTATATTAAAGAAAGAAGACGGTGACAAATAACTGTGCCAAGAGGATTTACACAACTGGCACCAAGCAAATTCTCTGCCCACAGTCCACTTCTACCCATACAGAACAAGTCAACGTATGGCAAAGGCATTAGGGCTAGGTGTCAAGCACCTGGGGTTTGAATTTAAGACACTACATTTGCTGCCATCTAGTTGACTTTGAGGCCATTTTGCGTATTTGTATGTTTTGAACTGGTGTACAATTCTATCCATTCTTTGTAAGACCGCTGGAAAGATGAGAATAAAAAGCAAACAAAAAGCTTTGTAAAGTGTGTGCTGTTCCTGCTACTACCATTTAGATAGTGCCCCAGCTTCTATGATTTCTAACCCATTCGAGGCAGATGTTCTTGTTCTTCTTTCCTGATGCACTAAAGCATTTTTATTAACACAAACAAAATGACATTACAATTTTATTTCAGAAGTACACGGCATCCCATCCATATCTTCTGCTAGTTCACCATACACCTAGTCCAAGCTAGGTCTGCATCACGCCCCTGGCTCTATGAACCTTGGCTTCACAGGTACCTATGACAGCAATTATCTTAAATGGAATGATGGCAATAAGGTCAACTTCTATAGAAGATCAGCACACACATGCAAGAATTCTAGGCAGAGATTAAAAAGATAATGGGACACAGGACAAGTGGATCAAGAAGGTATAAAGAAATGGAAGATACACTTAGGAAAATTTAACCTGATGGCACAGTGAAATCTGAAGTAGACAAATAAGGAAGGCAGAATTGGGTAATACAGATTCAAAACCAGGAAAGCTGGTGACTGGCACTTCCATGTCAAATCAATCCCAGCATGCTTCATACTGCAACTGATGGAACAGAGTTCTTATGTGTGAATTACTGGATGACAAATGCCCTATAAGCTAAGTCCAAGTAGGCAGATGTCTTATTTTGACAAAAAGAAGACTGATACTGTGTGTGAAGGCACGGGCCTTTAATTCTGCCACTTGGGAGGCAGAGGCAGGCAGCTCTCTAGGAGTTTGAGGCCCACCTGTTCTACATAGTTCAGTTCCAGGACAGCCAGGGCTACATAGTTGAGACTTTATCTCAAAAACAAAACAAAAATGGAAGGAAAAAAGAAGACAGACAGACTAGACTATACATTGAATGGCTACTTGTTAAGTGAATCAAGACCTGAAAATAGGTCCCTTGGCTCAGAGTATGCTATGTCCCAAAAGACAAGGCTAACATTTCCTCAGCCTCTGGAAGGAGGCTCTTTCTCCTAGCCATTTACTACAATATCATACTACAGTGACATAATAAGCCAAATGAGTCTCTGCTTCCCCAGTGGCCCTTAAATGACTAAAGTACAAACAAAATCTACCAAAGCCAGAGAGGTAGGAAGAGACATGACAGACATTTTTGGTTTTAACCACAATCTGTCAGACCTAACTTTCCCTGTAATTGTACAATTTATTTGTTTATATTACTCACAAAGTGATACAAACCAAACCAATTCAGAGCATATGGCTTTTTTTTTTTTTTAAATCAGTGTTGAACTGTTCCCTCAACCCCCACTCTATAATCCTTTTTGGTCACCAGCAAGCAGGCTAAGTCTACCAAAAAAAAACAAAAAACAAAACAAAAACCTGAAAAATGAAGCCACAACAACCTGAGGCCCCACCTAGAAACAGACAGAAAAGGGACAGCAAGAAACGTTCCATAATAGTACGACCAGGAAGGAATGCCATCAAATTCCTTCTACAAAGACCACATCACATAGCAATGAAACTTCTAATCTGAGATATGAATAGGGAAATTATTATTTTATACACAAAACTGGTAACTATGGTAACTAAGAGGCATAAAGAAAACAAGTTGGCCAAAGGAACTATAACACAGATCTAGGTTATAAGAATTCAAGAAAAGTAAAGTTAGATAAAAAGCGCTCTAAGCTAGTCTTTAGAAGGGGCACACAGATCCTAAAGATGCTAGAGAAGCCCTAGCACAGAAATGCCAACAGAAGCAGCAGGCTCAGAGCCCATCAACATCACTGAGCAAACATGGAACACTACAGAAGGACTTTTCTAAGCAGGCAAGGGTCTAGGCTTCCTTCAAGGGAAGAATGAGTCCCAGCTGCCCACCCAGAACACAGAAGAAACATTAGGATTCCAGTCCTCCCTTCAAACTGACCTAGGCCTCTGCCAACTCCTGCCCAAGACCAAGGGAGGAGACATGAACAGTGAAGAAACCAGGAGGAGACAGAGCAGCAAAGAGTCTGAGTGACTGCAGACTCACCCCAACCTCTGTTCTAATGGATTGTTAGCTCTTTGGCACAAACAGAAGGTAATAGGAAACGTTGGAAAAATCCAGAATTCTTATGCATCAAATATGAGAAGTTAGTATTTTGCAGAGCATAAAGATACTTTTTGGAGAATTATCTACTGACCATCACTAACATCCTCATCACCATCTGAACCAAGGTCCTTCAAAATCAACTGGGGGTTGGGGACTGTGTGCAGCTGCTGAAGCCAGAAAAGGGCATCAGATCCCCTGGAGCTGGAGTTACAGGCTGCAATAAGCCACCTAACACAGATGTTTGGAACCAAACTAAGGTCCTCTGGAAGAGTGAGAGAGATCCTCTTAACCTCTGCTCCCTTTCCCCAACCCCTAATTTTTTTGGTTCTTTGAGACAGTCTTGATATGTAGCCCAGGCTATCCCCAGTACTGGAATTGCAGGTGTGCCACCACACTCAGGTTGGAAATCATTGATTTCAATAATCCCAGTACTATACAGGTTACAGAATGTTACATGTTGGGCAAAAGATGAAAATTTAGAGCCAGGCAGTGGTGGCGCACGCCTTTAATCCCAGCACTTGGGAGGCAGAGACAGGCAGATTTCTGAGTTCGAGGCCAGCCTGGTTTACAGAGTGAATTCCAGGACAGCCAGGGCTACACAGAGAAACCATCTCAAACAAAACAAAACAAAAAGATGAAATTTAGAAAAAAGAAAGGTATATTGCTCCATCTACATACACCACATTTCTTGGGCCGAAGCTAGATCAGTATAGGTTAACTTATACAAGGGCACATCTCGGATCCTGGATGAGAAAGTTCCCTCTGGAGGCTGAGAGCCAGGGAAGACAGATGCGCAGCTAAGAAGTCATTAGGAGGTTCTGCAGCAGAGTGAGGAGGACAGTCAAGGGAGGAAGGTACAGGGGGCAGGGTCAAGGATTTGAAGGTTTACATCAGAATTTAATAACTAATCTCCTGTGGTAACTAATCAAAAGAATTAAAAACATTCTCTCTAACTGTCTCTGCCCCGAACTGTAATCCTGATAACTACACCCTTAATCCTGACAATTACACCCCATTTTCAGGTGAGAAGACTGAAGCTCAAAAAATTAACTATTTGTAATCTTGAAGCTAATTGGGGGGGGCGCAAAACTCAAAACTTCTCACTAAAGCTCTATTGTTTCATGGTGCTAGCAGCAATTTCACACTTGAATTTCCCTTGCTACACAAGTTCTTAGATGCAGGCTCTCACATACACCAAACAATTTAAGCTTCATCAAGTCCCTAGTGCTGGATTATCCAACTATAGAAAATACAGATTCCTTTTTATGGTACAGGATTTTGATTGACTTAAATGTGCTTTGTGAAAGCTACTCAGCAGGATTCAACTAAATAAGGATGAGAATTTGAGTCACTCAGGAGGATTCCTGCCCTAAGGATAGGGCTTAGAGGGCAAATCCAAGGTGAACTGATACTCTACTGGGGAAGTTAAGGTCTCCTGGAGAGTTTACACTATAAAAAACCTTCCCCAATGCAACCTCAATCAACCAATGTTCTCAATTAAGACAGGGTGACTTCTATCTCCTGGGGCTAGTCCCTAAAATCCCTACACATGAAAGGAAAACACTCAGTAGCAAAGAGTGTGCAATTGCCCCAAGGCATCCAAGAACAGATCAGAAAGCAGATACAAACTCTTTGGCTGCAATGACAGAGGATGGCGAAGAAAACAGTGCAATGAGCACTAATAAAGCATAAGTTAACAAACAGCAACAATCAGAATACATGACTGATACAACAGCATTAAATTCTATTAGCAAAGTATAATTACACATATTTTACAAGCAAGCAAGCAAGCAAACAAACAAACAATAACAACCAAACCAACAACAAACCACAACTTTAACCTTGAAGCCTCTACTTGACATACCCCTAGGCAATTAAAAGACAAGCAAGTCTGTGCTTGAATCCTGACTGGGTTACTTGTTTAGCTATTTTACATTATGCAACTTCTAATAGTTTTGGATGTCTAACCTGCAAAAGATGGTCAGGAAGGCTGGCTGAGCTCTGGTATAAAGCCTTTACAATAGCACCTAACACATACCATCAAGATTTTGTTTCTGAGACATGATCTCAGTCAGGCTGAGGACTCAGTCTGTAGTCCTGGCTGATCCTGCACTCACCCTTAAAGAGATGTGGTGGGTGGGAGCTACCACAACTAGCTTCATCCAGTAAATTTTAGTAAAATTGGGAATAAAACCTTTGGACTCTCAATCATTGTTCTATTGTATCCCATCAATTTTGAAGGTCCCCAGTGCCACTTTATTTCAAGATAGTCAAAGATCATCCAATCCTGTCTAAACGGAGGGTCTCTAAATTCCAAGGCCCATGCCACAGTAGTAAAGAATTCAGAGCTGCTTTGGGGAAGCCTGGGTAAAAGATAACTAACCCTGCTCAGAGCCCCTCTAGGTTCCCTTAGGCACTTAGTAGCCAGGAGTCTGCAGTTAATTCACTTCCAGACTCAGGTTCCCTTGTGTCAGCTACTTTTGTCATGCTTTCCTAGGCCACTGATGAAACTCAACAAGAACCTGTTTAATAGGATGCCACCACTTGCGACCTTGCAGCATAATCATTTAGGTGTACCCTCTTAGGAAGGAAAGCCTGCAAAGCCTCTTATGCAGCAACCTGGCTCACAGCAGCATTGGTATGCAGGGAAGAGTACTGCCCAAAAGCCCAGGTCAAACTCACCTTGAGCTACGAAAATATTCTGAGTAAACATCAGTACTTACTAACAAGTTAAGCTAGTGTCTCAGCTTTTCTAAATTTCTAGTTTTATGAGAGTTAATCCAAAATTCATGTGTTTGGGGTACATAAAAGTCAATCTTTCTGTCAGAAAAGTTTAGACTAGGGTAACAAATTTCTGAGTGCTTACTATTTTCTAAGTGGTGATGACCTTAAACTTTGTTTTAAGTACATTCAGGACGGGTTTTTAGGGATGGAAAACAAGGTGACAAAAGCAACCGTTAATACCTTAATTCCCTCTTTCCTTGAAGGACTTCAAGTTGAAGACATCAAATTTATAGGCTTTTTTAAAAAACCGTTGAGCTAGTTAGTGTTGTACCTTTCATTTGGGGCAAGTCTTGTCCTCCTTCCAGAGCTCTTATTTCTTTGTGAAACACAGGCTGGGGACAGAACACTGCTGGGAAAGTGTTTGCACACAGAGCTCTAGGTTTAATTCTCAACAGTGCATACGCCAAAATGATAGACAGTGCATAACTTTAGCCCCAGTTCTCAAGGCAGAGAATCCTTAAAGTCATCTTCAACTACATAATAGCCTGAGCTATGTGAAACCCTGTCCCCCATGATATGGGCCCCACAAACCACTGGACTTCTGAGTAGGACTTGCTTGGTCCGTGCTCAGAAAGGATGAATCTGATGTACAGAAGCTAATGGAGTAGGATACGACCAAGAACACAGTTTTGTGTTCTTTTTAAAAATGTATTTGATACTTATTTGTACATCAAGTTATTTCAGTAAACTCTAAAACTGCTTTCTGTTTATTCACTAGAAGCTGAGGTGAGAGAAGATAACTATCCTCGGCTACTTAAGGCTGGGCATTGTCCTCTCAAGATCATCTTTTCTGCTAACCATTCTCTTTCTCTCTTAAATCTCTCTACAACCTTCTGTTTAATGAGCTAGCTTGTCACACTGGAGAGTGACTACTATCACTATTATGCCTTCGAACTTTTCGTTTTGTTTTTGTTTTTTGTTTTTCGAGACAGGGTTCCTCTGTGTAGCCCTGGCTGTCCTGGAACTCACCCTGTAGACCAGGCTAGCCTCGAACTCTCAAACTCAGAAATCCGCCTGCCTCTGCCTCCCAAGTGCTGGGATTAAAGGCGTGCGCCACCACCACCCGGTAACTTTCAAACTTTTCAATAGCCATAAAAGTATTTTGTTTTCTTTTTTTCCCCTTCCAATACTACCAGAGGCATGCAGTAAATCATTCTGAATTACAAGGAACAGGGCAAAGTAAGGTTGTAAAGAACTTTTGGGTTTAAGCAAAGCTTTGATATCACTGGACATCAACAGCATGCTAAAAACACAGAACCATAGGCCTAACACAAGACTTGGAGGTTAGAGTCAAGAAAGCATACCCTAGAGAAATTTGAGTCTTTGTTTTCTACTTTAATGTTAGCAAGCAAAAATTGGCTATGTACTATTTTATCTGCTACAACATGTAAGCTTAGCTGTCATTTTTGTAAGTAGAGGCAATACATATTAAGACTCCAAATTAGCCGGGCAGTGGTGGCGCACGCCTTTAATCCCAGTACTTGGGAGGCAGAAGCAGGCGGATTTCTGAGTTCGAGGCCAGCCTGGTCTACCAAGTGAGTTCCAGGACAGCCAGGGCTACACGGAGAAACCCTGTCTTGAAACAAACAAAAAAAAGACTCCAAATTAAAACAGACATTTTAAGTATGTGGCCCAAAGGAAAAAATTTCTCTAGTTTTAGATCGCAAAGGGAGAATGAAAAAACTAGCGTGCCAGGCAGTGGTGGCACACGCCTTTAATCCCAGCACTTGGGAGGCAGAGGCAGGTGGATTTCTGAGTTTGAGGCCAGCCTGGTCTACAGAGTGAGTTCCAGGACAGCCAGGGCTAAACAGAGAAACCCTGCCTCGAAAAAAACAAAAAAGAAAAAAAGAAGAAAAAACTAATGTAACTTTCAACCTACTATTCCAACCCCACAGGAAATGTGTTCCATATTCAAAATTTGAGAAACTACAATAAGAACCCAAATCTCGAAGATGAAGATGGAAGAAATTCAGAAAGTAGTCTGAACTTAACCGGGCAGTGGATTCCTTATAGAATATTACTGACATTTCCAGCATGCACAACCTCATGACAGAGATACCCTATCTTAGGATAAAGGTACACTCCCTGTGGGTTTTCAACTTGTCATGGATCAGTTCAGAACAAACCAGGACTGCATCCAAGTCCCAAACTCCAGGGTGTTAAACACTTGCTATCCTGCCACTATTTACTGTAAAATTCTTTTTAAAATGCTATCTGTGAAGAAAGTTTTTATATACTGGAAGAATTAACAAGGGCTGTTAGCTGAAGTTCAAGTTTCAAGCTGCCAACATCAATGAACTGAAGTTAGAAGATATTGTTTGGCAATACAAATTCATGTAGCCCAAGGGAGTATTAAAACATGAACACACCAAACTATCACTAAGCATGTTTCACTCATTTGTATACCATCAAGAAGTCGTGTGTAAAAGGACTAAGAAAGTGAGGAGACTGAAGGCAAAGTAGAAGGCACTCCCCTAGGAAGTTTTCAGGCATCCACCATCCTGGAAATGATGGCCTTTTCAGAGTGGACAAGCAGGATGGGAAAGGCCCCCAGAGAATTCCATCACACTATCCAATCCACTGTTAAATGACTTCAAAACTCTGCAAGGGATTCTCCTGGGACATTACAATAAAATCTGATTTTAGGAAATCTAGTCCTGAATCCCACCCATTCTGCTAAATTCAACCTCAGGTAGGGAAGGCTGCATTACACCTGCGAAGATCTGTGAGTACAGACCATTGTGGCCTCCAAATACTACAAGGACACAGGAATTTGAAGCCAGGAGTCCCACCCCTTTCAAGCTGATTAACCTTAATCAAGTTGTACTTGTTCCCCCTAAGCTTTAGTTTCTCTATTTATAGAAAAGAGACATAATTTACTTTTACAGATATTATCCAAAATTGTAGTGCTCAGATTATACTGTCCATTTTCCCCTTGGCCTCTCCCTGCCCCAGGAAGCCTCAGACTTCAAAGCCCACTGCCTCTCTCCTCTAGCAGACTCAGGAAGGCAAGGTGTTTGGCCTCATGGAACCACACACTTCTCAGACAGCCCCAGGGGTTAAGAAAACAACTAAGACTCTAGCATGGCAGGAAAAGATGTAATGTGTTTTGTTATTCAACAGCTCTTGGCCCACCTGTGGGGGTTATTACTCTTGTGTGTAAGTTAACCTGCATGCCTCAGGGACTAAGCAGAGAACCAACTGAATGATTGTCTGCCCTCAGGTGAAGGGTTGGGGTTCTCAGAGAAAACCTCACACTTAGAGATAAGGTTTGAGAACAGAGTTGGAAGAAACTAGAAATCAGTAAAGGAGACTGCATGGGTGGGTCTGCTACTTTTTTTTCCTCTCTATGTTCTGAAGAGAAAGAGGCACGAGTGGGGCTTCTGCAGTTCTACCAACAACTTTGAATCCCACCAGGACTACTCTTCATCCATCTTTAAAATGCTAGACTTGTAATTATGACTCGCACCTACTGCGTGTGAGTACTTTTAAAGATCGAGGTTACCACTTAGTGAGCTTGTTATGGAATGCTGGCTAACGTTTAGGGAATAAGACTGATTTTGCAGCATTCACAGAAAGAAGGTCCCAAAGCCCGGACAAGGACCTTAGTGAGCTAGAGACAGTTATTAGAGCTGAGTGGTTCTGAGAACAAGGGAGTCCAGGAGAGGCCAGGACTGCCTGCTGTAGTCTACCTTTGAGCGAGGTCTCCACCAGGCGCAGGTAAAGCTGTGAGTTCTTGTTGCCGTGACTCATGCGCTGGGCTAACCCGTTGCGTTGTAGGACACACTCCTCAAACTGCACGATATTCTGGTGACGCCGCTTGAGGCTGGTTAGGGCCCAAAATTCTGCTAGTGCCAACTCCACGTTCTCGGGAGCGTCGCAGCGGATCTTCTTGACTGCCACCCTGGCCCCACTGCGCCCAGCCACAGCCTCATAAACCACGCCGTAGCTGCCGCGCCCGATCTCCGCCAACAGGCTGTAGCGCGGCCGTGCAGGAACATCTCCGCCGCCGCCATCCGGTCGCCGCCGGGCCAGGAAGGCCTCACCCGGGACCTCGGCCATAGCCGGATCCATGGCCTGGGCCACCGGCCTCAGCTTCTCGCACAGTACCCGCTGCACTGGGCTTCGCCTTTTCCGCTCCGGGCTTTTTGTCCCTCTGCGGGCTCTGTTCTCTTTCCCCGTTTCCATGGCTGCGGGGGGCGGGGGGAGCAGCAACGGCGCCGCCCGGGCCCCCCTTGCCTCATCCCTCCGTCTAGCCCCGAGATGCGGAGGAGCGGTACCTTGGATTATGATCTAAGGGCGAAAGAATCTGTTAAAACCACTAGGCCGAGAAGGGTAGATGAGGAACTTAAAGCGTCCAGCGTCCCACCTCCGCCGCCAGTCGCGGCCCCTTTAAGAAGGAGCCACTGTCTCGAATTGAACGGGGGAAGGGAAAGGAAAGCGGGAAAGACGGAACCACCGGGAAGTACCGAGGGAGGACCGGAAACCGAAGCACAAACCGTTCCCTCTCTCCACTGATTTATCCGTCAAGAGTAGGAAAAAATAAAGCGGTAGGGACCTTCACCGTTTAAGACAGCCGTCTTCAGGAGCGATGCGGCTGGCTTAAACTTTCCTGGGGCTTAGTCCCCTCCCAACGGCCCCCTCCCCGCGTCCTACCCGGAGTTCTCCCGGTGTAAACAGTCCGGTGAATTACCCAGCAGAGGCCAGTGCGACAACCCAAGCCCCTGGGGACAGCGGGTGAAGGGAAACTGGCTAAAAGTTCGACTTCCGAGTGCCCTCCCGGAGTACTGTGGGGTGCTGGGGCTCCCTCTTCGGCCCTTCCTCCTCCATTGGCTCTTACCTGGCCGGCGCTGTTCCTCTTCCGGGCGGACCGGTTCCCCCTTGGAGCCCGCGCCGGAGGATGGTCCGTTCCGAGCCGGGGTTGTCTGCAGAGCCGAGTAGGGCGCGAGGCGGGGAGCCGGGTTGGACGTGTAGCGGGTCGCGGCGCTGCTCCTGTGATGACAGCAACGCTCCCGGGGGAGGCCTCGGCTTCCAGGTTCCCGTGGCTGTCCTCGAGTTCGCGCCAGCTGAGCACTTTACGTAACCTCTTTATGTAAGCTGCACCTCCCGCCGCTGCTCTGGTCAGCGGAGATTCCTGGTGGCCCATCCCCCAGGAGGCCAGCGAAGAGCTGCGCCGCCTCTCCTCAGCCGAGGTAGACCCAGCAGCCGCGACAGCCCGGAACCAATCACTGGCGAGAACACCCAGCCAACAAAAAGAGCGCGCCAAAATCCCGCGATTTATACCGAGGGCATTCGCGAGTCGTCTGCACTCCGCAAACGCCTTTCCGGACTTGACCTGCATAGTACCTCCACGCCCGCAGTCGGCACTTGATTCTGATTGGGTGGATGGCTTAGGTGTAATTGATTCACAGCTGAGACCGGGGTTAGAATGCTAATCCCCACGCCCACTAATGACCTCAATGATCTCAGCCACACATAATCCTCAATATCCTTCTCTGCCAAACCGGGTGGTCCTCACTTCCCAGGTTGTAAAGGACCAAATGAAATATGATGGCTGGCTAATTGAGTGCCTGCTATAAGCTGCTTTGGGGTTGGATTTTGATACCCTTCACCCCGGCAGCCCATTGTCGTGGGAGGGATCACAATGGCTGCGTAGTTAAAAATGATCTTGAACTTTTCCTCTTGCCTTGTCTCCTGAGTAATGAGATTAAAGGCGGGCACCACCACACCCGGTTTATACACCCTATTTGTTTGTACAGGGATAGGAATCAAACCTAGGCCTTTGTGCATGCTAGACAGGCACTTTACTAAGCTACATCCTCGGCCCCTAGACATGGATTTTTAAGTATTTTGTGCCCTGCTTTGTACTCCAATGACTAGAAGGTGCCCAGTATTTTGTTAGCTGATATTGAAGAACATAACTAGAGTTTCTGTTACACACTATTTTAAGTCTGGAGAAAGAGGAGTGGACATGACAGTCTTTGCCTTCATTGTGATTCTTTGCCACTGGAGGAGACCATCAACCTTGTGTCTCTGAAGACATTTCACAGTTAAAGTAATTAGAACAGAATAATGTTAAAAGCACACAAGAAAGATTAAATGTAAAACAATAAACAACTTTCTGGAATTTCTATAGCTTTTTGTATGTAAATGGTTAAGTATACACACAAAGTATAAGAATAGAGAAGTCTCACCTTTTTTTGCCAGAATTACATTGTTTTGCTTTATTTTCATGTTCTGTGTGTGTGTGTATATATACATACACACATACACACATACATATGTATGACATTTATATATATATATATATATATATATATATATATATATATGGTGTATATGTGTATGACATAAATCTAAAAGGATTTATAAAAGGATATATACATATATGCCATACATATATATTAGATTTATGTCATACATATGTATATGTGTGTGTGTGTTTTCCTGAGGACAAAGATACTTTCTAGCACACTCAATATAATACAAAATCAGGAGCTTTAACAATACCATGCTTGCCGGGCAGTGGTGGCGCATGCCTTTAATCCCAGCACTTGGGAGGCAGAGGCAGGTGGATTTCTGAGTTCGAGGCCAGCCTGGTCTACAGAATGAGTTCCAGGACAGCCAGGGCTACACAGAGAAACCCTGTCTCGAAAAACAAAAAACAATACCATGCTTTTGTTTAATATGCCATCTCAAGTTTTACTGATTGTCTTCTCCTTTCTCTTCTAGTCCAATATACCAATCATCAATACCTATCCTATTGTAGCCTTGGCAATCTTAGAACTCAATCAGCAGACCAGGCTGGCCTTGAACTCAGGGATCTGCCTGTCTCTGTCACCCAAGTTCAGGGATTACATTCGCCAGTATGCACCACCATACCCAACCTAAAAACTTAAAACAACTTAAACTTCTTTAAAGGGGTTATCTCCAAATATTGTTACCAACCTATTGGGGGTTATAGCTTCAAGGCATGATTTTGAAGTAGAGCCACAATTCAGTTGGTGGCAATCTCTTTGGGAAATGACATTGGTCTGAGGAATGAATGTCAAGAAACTAGTCTTGCCAAAACTAGTGGTGGGGCACCACAGGAAAAAGAGACAGCAAACACAAGAGTGATCCCATAGGTCAAGACCGCAGCTAAACTTTAGCCAATTAAAGAGACTATTAGAATGTAAAACAGCCTGGGTGATGGCTTAGTGTGAACCTGTTGACTTGATTTCAATCTCCTGAGCTGACAAAAAGGTGGAAAGAGAACCAACTCCACAAAGTTGTCCTCTATCCTCTACCCTGATACCCACAATCATACAGAGATGGTGATGAACCCCAGAAGCTCAAAAGTGTGAGTCCCTTGCAGCTGTTGAGTTACCTATAAATCCTGAATTCAAATTTTATTCTTTATTTTTGGACTTGCTTAAATTACTAAAGTAACCACTTACTTTTATGCTTGATAGCTAACATTTATGAGCATTTTCTATTTTCCTGGCCTAAAGATTGACAGAGTATTTATGACATCCTTGAAAACAACAGTTTCTTTCAAACTTAAATGTGTTACATCTGCCTGTGGCCTAGCTAGTTCCCTGTCTAGATGTTTACCCAAGATAAATGAAAACTTAGATTCACAAATAGATTTTTGTATAAAACTATTCGTGGTGGCTTGTCCCATGAGAATCCAGAAACTGGAAAGTGCTACTGTGTTTGTCAATAAATAGACAGATTGTGTCACTTCCAGATAATGGGAACAAAAGAAGGAACAGACTCTATAGCATGGATGAATTTAAAACAACAACAACAAAAAAAAATGCTGCGTGAAAGAAACCAGGCACAAAAGAACACCCAATTGGTTAGCTGGGTGACTCCACCACCCACTAGAGAAAGAAATACAGGCTAATTTATACTAGAGGGAGTGAGGGAAAAGAGGCAAAACCTTTTTGGGGTTGAACAAAAAGGGGTTCATTTTTTATGTGGTAATAATTTTAATGGGAAATGCTTCAAAAAGGGGCTGGAAAGTTGACTCTGTGGTTAAGAGTACTCGCTACTCCTTCTAAGGACCCAGGTTCAGTTCTCAGCATCTACATGGCAGGTCACAACTGGCTGTAATTCCAGTTCCAGGGGATCTGACACCTTCTCATAGACATACAAACAGGCAGAACATTAATGTACATAAAAATAAGTAAATTATAAAACATTTTTAAAAAGAATTTCTCAAATTGTGTCCTTTACTGGTTTTGGTTTATGTATAGCCATTTCAGACTTAACTCTAAAAAGCGCTAAAAAGAGGTAGTGAGGGAATGCTACATACTGTACCATTCCATTAATATCAAGTGTAGCCACCAGCCTTTGGTAGCAGAATGCCAGTGGTTGACTGCCAAGTGGCACAAGGGTGATGGAATCTGTAAATTGTGCTACAGTAAAACTTAAAAGTTGAAAAAAATGAAAGCCCCTCAACCATGAAGATTTGTGGGTTTTGGTTTTGTTTGTTTAGTTGGTTTGGTTTTTGTTTGGGCATTTTCTGATTTGAGACAGGGTTTCTCTATGTAGCCCTGGCTGTCCTGGAACCCAATTTGTAGACCAGGGCTGACGTCAAACCCACAAGTACCTCTGCCTTGTGGTACAGCCTAGCCCACTCTCCCACCCTCTAGTACATAGTCTGAGAAAAAGTCAAGAACCTCTCTCCTCCTAGCTACTGTCCTTGCCTGAATTTGGAAAGATGGAGCAAGAAGCTCTAGAAGGACTGTGGGTGTGAGTCTTCTGCAGCTGTTAGATTACTTAATTTCTTTTAATTTGCTCAAATTACAAATATAACTTTATTATTTTGCCCAGTAGCTAACATTTATGAGCATTTATAAAATTGACAAAGAACATTTATGACATTGTGGAGAGGTGGTTTCTATCACCGACCCATTTTACAGACGATGAAAATGAAGGTGAAAATTCTTCAGAGAGTGGGGAATAGGTAAAAGAAGTGGGAAAGGGCAGGTATTATGGGACCCACAGTGAGGCAGGGGCAGGAGCCATGGTAAAGACTCGGTCTTCCTGAGATGATCTGAGCAGCTTCCACACACAGCCAAGGATGGCCACACCCACCAAAGGCTGGAAGTAGGGAACTCTAAAACCTCTGTCATCAAGACTGACGAGAATTAACCCCTAACTTATGCACTAAGTCAATGACCTCAAGACCCTTTCCAGTAACTGGGAGGCCTCACCATCCTAAGAGAAGAGCTCAACCAAATGGCTGAGTATTCAGAGACTGGAAAGGGAAGCTACGGTCTTTTGTTCTGACCCAAGACAGGCACAGTTTCCATAAGTTTTCCCAGCCTTCCCTTAAAAAAAATAAAAATAAAAAAATAAAAAGGGGGACTTGTTGGGAGCCGACTCCTAGCAGAAAGCGGCTATCATCTTTGCAGCCATCGCAGGCCATATACCCTGACAAGAGACTTGTTTTCAACAGCCCACAACAGCTGAGCACACTCTGATAAACATCTTATTTTTCTCATATATCTTGTTTTGTTGTTTAATGCCCCCAGCTGCAAGGCACACGTGGTAAAGTGTCTTCAGCTGCATTCCCCTGCTTGTGCTTATATATACCCAGGATTTCCTTTCAATAAACGGGACTTGATCACACACCCTGTCTTGTCCTCATTCTTCATGTCTCTTGTCCCTCCATCCCCATGCTCTCTCTTGCTAGATCCTGTTGACTGACCCGAACGGACTAGGTCACTTGGCCCCCAAACGTGGGGCAGAACGGACCGGGACACACACCTACCAAAGTGAACACACTGACGGCCACACCCTCCAAAGTGAACACACTGACTGTTGAGGCTGGAGCTGGGAACTCAGCCCTTTTCCCCATCTCACACTTCAGGGGGCTAAGAACACCTTACTCTGGGTCTGGTTCCGCGAGAAAGTGGGAGGTTCTGGCTTGTAGAGAAAGACTAGGGGATGGCTAGAAGAGTAAAGGGATAGGAGAAGAGCTGAAAGCTCAGGGGCTTGGAGAAAAGTAGGGGGAAGGACAAGGAGAACTGCTCTGGGCCACACTGTGGGATTGTGAGAGGGTGGGAGTGGTCTAAGGAAGGGCAGACACAGTAGTACCAGGTTTAGGGAGGACTTCTGAGATGAAGGAATACTGAAGGCAGACACTCAAGTACCTCAGTGGAGTGATTCTCGAACAAGGGACCTGGGAAAGACCTGGGCTGACTAAGCAGCTAGTCTGTGGAGCAGCCCTGAGCAACAGAACTCCAGCTCCAAGGACTCTGTATTATTTGTTTTTCTCATCTCTAAGACCAAAAATCTGACAAAAAGCAATTCACGGGAGGGAAGATTACTCTGGCTCACAGTTCCGAGGGATGAAGCCCATCACGGTGAGAGAAACGACACTGGAAGTGGCTTGGTCCAAGGCACTGACCAGAAGCAGAGTGCACTTAGCAGTCCCTTCCTGCCTTCTTTCTCTATCTGAAAGTCACAGAATGGGACCTTCTACATCACGAAGGCTCTTCTCTTCTCAGATCTCGTTAAAAGGCAAGCCTAAGGATGTGCCTCATTAATGCCTAAGAATTTTTTTTCCTTTTTCTGTTTTGTTTTCAAGACAGAGTTCCTCTGTGTGGCCCTAGCTGTCCTGGAACTCATTCTATAGACCAGGGTGACTTTGGAATGCTAGGACTAAAGGCATGCCCATCACTAAGCAGTGTCCTAGGTATTCTTAATCCGATCCAAGATTAATGGATCTTGTCTGTTAGATTGTCTGTTTGGTTTCAACCCAGGGACAAGAGACTGAGCTATATATATTTTACATACCAAAGCAGACCTGGCCTCTATGTTCTCCCAGCATCCCTCAGTCTCTACCTGGCATACCCTGCCCCCAACCCTGAACTTTCCAGCCCAGGGGCCAGGCTGCCCTTCCCACAGAGGCTTCTCCCTATATAATCCAGATATTTTGCGCTCTCTCTCTCTCTCTCTCTCTCTCTCTCTCTCTCTCTCTCTCCCTCTCTCCCTCCCTCCCTCCCTGTCCCTCTCTCTCCCTCTCCCTCTCTCTCTTTCCCCTCCCTCCCTCCTTCTCCCTCTCCCTCCCTCTCTCCCTCTCCCTCTTCTCTCTTTGCATGCTCAAGCCCCTTTTTCTCTTTTTCTCTCTCCCTCCCCTACCATCCCCCCCCTTCCCCGAGGTGATTTCCATGGCTGTGGGCCTT